TTCAGCATTTATTGATCATTGTTATGCTTTGCTTCATACTTTTGGGTTAGCTTTTAATGTGCCAGACAGAAGGCTTTCATGTCATTTCACAACAGTCTTTGGAGATATAATACACTGAGCATTGCTGTCCAAGTTCTATTTTTTCTTCTTTTTTTTCCTGGTCCTAGGGCTTGAACTCAGGGTCTGGGCACTGTCCCTGAGCCTCTTTGTGCTCAAGGCTTGTGCTCTACCACTTGAGCCTCAGTGCCACTTCCAGCTTTTTCTAAGTAGTTCATTGGAGATAAGAGTCTTCCAGACTTTTCTGCCTGGGCTGGCTTTGAATGGTGATCTTCAGATCTCAGCCTCCTGAGTAGTTAGGATTACAGGCGTGAGCCACTGGCACCCAGCTTCTAATATCTTTTAACTGCTTAGGATGTCCTCCACACTCTTCTTTATTTGTGTTTTATGTAATAGTGCATTGGTTTTGATAATATTTTGGAGATGAAGCACATACTCAAAGTCTCTTCAGTGATAAGTGCAGAGAAGAAATTAGAACCCAGAAGATCTAGCCTCTGCTGAAACCACTGTTTCCCCACCCACTATGTTTTTATTAGTAACAGTTAATTGTAATTCAAGAGGTTTTACTTTGATGTGTTCATTTATGCGTATGCTACATGTTGATTAGATTCACTCTCTTCATCACTCTCTCCCTTATTCTTACTTCTTCTTTCGCAAACCAATCTTTAAAAGCCACATTTGTTTCATTTTCACACATGTAAATACAGTATGTTAACCATATTCTCCCTCCTTCACCCTCTCCATTCACTTGTCCCTCTACACCCTGCACAGGACCTGTTTTATATTCTTGTTATTCTTCTCTTTTTACATGTGTGCCAATTGTTAAAGTGACTTCACTCACAATGCTGTTTCACATATATACCTGCAGTATTTTTTTTTATCAGATTGAAGCCTCATTTACTCGTTTTCCCCATTTTTCCTACCCCATATTATTCAACAGCCTTCATGAGTTTCATTTAGCCATCTTCATTCACAGATATATTATCTTTTGTTATTGTTTAGCCTTTACCAGCCTTTCTCCCCTCTCCCTATGTATATTCATTTCCATCTCTATCTTTGAATTTAGAGATATACAAACATATGTATGGATATACATAGATGATATATAATTCTGTATATGTTTGCATATGTGTTTGTTTTTTATTTAGGTTTTAACAACTGAATATGAGAGAAAACACCTATTTGTCATTCTCAATCTGGGTTATTAGCTTAACATTATAATCTCCATCTCTGTGTGTTGCTTTGTGAATGATGTAATTTAACATGGCTTCACTTTTTTTTAGGGTCAATGTATTTATGTGCCACACTTTCATGATCCATGTATCAGTTGTAGGGAATCTTGACTGTTTCTATAGCTTCAATATTGTGAATAGTGTATCCTGAAGTCTTTTGGTTAAATGCTCAAGAGAGAAATCACTGGATCATATGGTAGTATTGATACTACTAATACTAATTTCCATAGTGGTTACTGACTAGTTTGCATTCCAACGATGTATGTAGGTTCATTTATCCAGAATCTTTATCAGTATTTATTACTATTTGTGTTCTTGATGTTGATCATTCTGACTCAAAAATCTCAATAGTGTTTTGATTTATGGCTAGGTATGTTGAACATTTACTCACATATTTTTTTGGTCATTTGTACTTCTGTTTTCAAGAAATGTCTGTTCTGTTTATTTGCTCACTTCTCCACGAGGTTCTTGATTTGGGGAGAGTTTTAATTTTTTAACCATTACACAATTCTACTCTCTCTTTTCTGTTAAAGTTATGCAAACGTTTTTTATACAGTTATGCAAACTCTTATTATAACTATTAGTGGGTATTAGTTGTACAAATTAATGTTTATCACTGTTACTTCTTTCAATTAATTTTTATTGGCACACAAGCTCTTTTAATGATGACATTTTCATTCATACATACAATGTATACTACCAATCTACCCTCCCCATCCTTCTCTTGTATTTACCTATCTCTTAAAATCATTTCAACAGGATTTTTCTTTTGTGTTCTTTCCAGAAGTATTTGGACCGTATTCATTCTCATTAACTCTCCCCATATACCTCTTTCAGATGATTTCTGCCCCTTAGCAGAGCCTGTTTTGTTTTCACTGTGACATTTCTATGGATGATTATGGATGGGGAAGTAGAGGAGGTGCTCTATAAATATAACCTTTGTCCCCTGGCATGAAATAGACTCTAGCAAAGGTTTGATTGCGTGCATCAATGAGTGTTGGCTATGTGGCAAGAGAAAGTATAGATGCTTCCCACATAGGACAAGGATTGTGATAATTTACATCCTATTACTTGGATGTGAATTTGTTCTAAATTATATAAAATTAAACAAGATGATGTTATACAAAATTTGATGGATTTTTTTCTTAGCCAGAGAAAGGGCAATGTATTTTCCCAAGTAATGGAACACAGTAATCAAAATGAATATTTAAATAAATTATTCAATTTAAAGGCATTTTGACATGTTATGAGATTATGCAATTACAAACACCATTCAAGAGAAGTATGAGCAAGATGAAATCAATCAAGGTGTTATTTCAGGAATATCACTGATAGTCAAGTAGGTTTGTAAATATTTTACTTTTGATGCAGTCCAGACTGGCCTTGAATTCTTGATCCTCCTGCCTCAGCCTCCTAAGTGCTTGGATTATATGCGTGTGTCGCCATATGCAGTTAAATATTTAAAAATTATTATCTTACTTTATAGTTAGAATTCAAATATGCATTATAAACTACATAGCATATGTTACATTTTCATTTGTAAAAATTAATGAAAACCCTCCCTGGCTTTTAAATAAGACAACATTAGAACTAAAACAGGTATGACTTTAAGTTGTTTAACAAATTAAAAACAAAAGCATCGCTTACATAAGTCTTAGTTACTTTGTGAATAATAGAATGCATTAATAATACCCATATCATTGGATTGTTAAGTGGTTGTGGAATTTATGCCATGTGAAATATTTTCATGGTGTTCTCACCAAGTAAATAAATGCTCATTAATTGAAGTTTTTGTTATAAAGGCGTACAAGCAGTAGGTCATAATTAATTCAGTTCTAGAGGGGGATAATTTTGTCTTTTGCAGGACATAACATTTAACAATTGCTAGAGACATTTTAGTTTTCATACCTTGGGGTTCAGAGAAAGCACATTACTGGAAGCTATATAGTCATGAAGTTTAGAGATGCTACTAAGCATCATACAAAACACCACACAGGCATCTCAGAGCAAAGCTTATTCAGTCCAAGGTATCTGTGCAGCAGAGGCTGAGAAATCTTAAGCCAGCAAATGGGTTAAATTCCTTTCTCACAGCTTATAGGACAACAGCATTTCATAAAACCTTGATACAAAAGAGAAAAGGTGGTGAGAGAAAGTTATCTTCATAGAAAACTAAATTCACGTTTTATACCTCCAAAATACTTGCAAGAAGATGCCTATGTTGTAGAGATGTGGATTAAAAATGACACCCTCCCCCGCCTGCCCTCCAACCTTAGCATGCTGGACTATCTTTGACTCAAAAGCAGACATGACAGAAGAAGAACAGGAATGAATGTCCTCATGAGGAGGGACTGTTTACCTTGGTGGAGAGAAGGCAGAGAGAAACTGCATATATTTTCATATTTCTACGATTGATAGAAAATAGCTTTTCTGCTTCAGTCAATTTCCAGTAGCAGGTTAATTAGAAACTAGGTTCTTAACAGCTATGTTTGGGTAACCAACCTTGACTGAAGGATTGGTGTGTGATTTGGTAACACTTGTGGGAAACCCACAGATTAAGTTCATTAACTGGTGCCAAAACATCTCTGCAAGACACTGGTATGAAAATTCCCCAGTTAAGGAATACTTTTCATTCTCAGCATGAAAATTACACAAAATTTTTTCTTAAAATGATGGGACAAATGGCCATAGCCTTTAGCACTCCTGAATTGTTAATGTACATAATATGTAATAATATATTATAATGTATAATTCATACTATATAATTTCTAAAAATATGAAATATAAAATAATATATTTATATAGTATATAACCATATATATATATATGTATATATATATATAAAGTATTAGAGTATGCCTCCAACAGTCAACCAACCTACATAGCCCATGACCCCACTCCACAAAGAAAGCACAAGCAGAATAGAGGGAAAGAGAGGGGTGGAGGGAAACTTGAAACAGGTACACTAAATACAATGACTTACATGTGTTGTGATGGAGGAGAATGATGGAAAAGATGACATTGTTCGAGGTGCACTCTAGTCACAAATGGATATGTTGGTTTGAAATCCATTTGCACAACTACTTAAAGATAATAAATTTAAATACAAACAGAAACACAACAAAAATAAACTGTGAGATCTAAATGTGAAACTACTTGGAATAGTTAAAACAAGATCTAATTCATAAAACTTTTCTCTGTGTGTGTCTTTTATACAGTTTATAAAGGTAAATAATATGCATTTGTTATTTTTTCCCAATATTTCTCCATGGCTGTGTGCCAGGCACTGTGCTAAGTGCTGGGAATTTAATAAAGGTTGATGTTAAAAAGAATCTCTTGCCCATAAGTAACTTACATGGTAGAAAGGAATTTTGACCAAACACATATAAAATGATTCATTAAGTATTTCCAGCTTGTAATTACATCAATTAAGGAAGTATAAGGAAATATAGTCACATTTATTGGATCTTTCTTGTATTTCTTATAATGCAAATGATGTATAATAACTTCTAGATAATCCAATCATGAATTTACAATGGTCAACCAATCAATCTTGAGTGTATTTATTGTTGTAGAAAAAAGCCTTCTTTAAGATTGTTTGCAATGATTGATTGTCCTAACTGCTTAACTTGACATGAAAAATTTGGATCAGTGTCAATAAAATATTGACTCTTTTAAACAATGTTTCTTGTGTTTCTGTCTTTTCTATTTTAGGGTTTTTGGAGCGGCCATACTTCTTACTTCTACCCTAAACATGTTAATCCCATCAGCAGCCAGAGTGCATTATGGATGTGTCATCTTTGTAAGAATATTACAGGGACTGGTTGAGGTATGGAACGAGAAGAGAATATCATTTTAAATTGATGATAATAAGTACAACTTATGTGTGACTTTATATTTTAAATAATTATTGAAACCCTGAAAATGTTAGATGATCAGGTTTTGGAAGATTAAACCCAGAGCCTAGACACTCTTCAAGCTACTAGTCTTTAGGAGCTTTAAACTAAATCCATCTTGGCATTTAATCATGGTATAATTTTTTACTTTAATACTTCATTGAGTATATTCTTTAAGAATATAAACATAGGGGCTGAGAAGGTGGCTCAGTGGTAGAGTGCTTGCCTTGCATGCATGAGACCCTGGGTTCGATTCCTCAGCACCACATAAGCAGAAAAAGTGGAAAGTGGTGTTGTGGCTCAAGTGGTAGAGTGCTAGCCTTGAGCTGAAGAGCTGAGGGACAGCACCCAGAGTTCAGGCCCCACGACCAAGAAAATAATAATAACAATAAATAAATATGAAAATTGGCTCTTATTTGATAAGTCTTCAGAATTCAAATAAAATAACATTTAAAAATTTGAATCTGGCCTTCTTGTTATGCCTTCTCTTTTACAGTGGAGCAGGGATAGATAAATAATATGAACTATTAAGGAACTTAAAAAAATCTGATTAAAAAAAAGGAAAAAATAACAGAATAAAAAAGCTAATCAATTTTAAATGTTTTCAGGAAGGGTGAGCTCCAATGATGTAAGCCTTACCTCCTCCTCCTATACAGACTTAATGCACAAGAAATTCACAAAATGTTAAGAGTTTCAGCAAAATAGATTCATGCAAGGGAGATCCCTCTCCTCCTTCTCCTCCTCCTTCTTCTTTTTGTTCTAATCGGAGGAATTCGAAATGGAAGAAAGACCTAAAAGATGAAGCCATTTGAATATGTCACTAAAAAGACTACGGTATCATATGTGGTGTGGAATGAAAGTTTTTGGGTGGAATTCCGTGGAATCAATGAGTAGCAGCTTTCCCTAACACCTGGTAGCAGTTTCAGAGGAAGAAGTGTCAGAGAAGGCCTGTGCTAAGTTACCAGTGGCTCTGCAACCTAAATGATGATTTTTGTCTTCTCTTATACAGGGGGTCACATACCCGGCCTGTCACGGAATATGGAGTAAATGGGCTCCTCCTCTGGAGAGGAGCAGGCTGGCGACCACCTCCTTTTGTGGTGAGTCTTTGGTGTGGATGTAGTCATTGTGCTGAAGGTTTATGAAATCAGGCTGGAACTAAACGATTGATAAACTCACCTTCGATCTATGCAGATTTGAGGCGGGACACCAATATTTCCGTCACTATTTCCCTTTCTTCCGTTCTTACTGCTGTCCTTCAACCTTCTCTTTCTTCTGTGCTTTGTATTGTTTTCTAGGAACTGATCCATTTCATAAAATTCATGGTTGAATTTTATAATACCATTTTCTTATTTTCTCGAGCATAACCGTGCTGTTTGATCTGACACAAATGTATATAAAACAAAGAATGTAATTTTTAACCCTGTCTATAAACTATAAAGAACTAAAGGCTATAGATTTATGTTTGCAAGTATTCAATTTATTTTGAATTCTGTCTGGTACTAAAATCTGTGTATGAGAATTCTTATTAGATACAAATATGTTAAAATTATTGTGGGAGAAAGTGATAAAATCCAAATCATAGAACTGATGATTTTTCAAAGAATTATTGCTATAATTTTCTACTTATTAAAACTCTTATTTGACAGAAATTTGACCTTACTGATCTTTCAAGAAGCAGAGTTAACAGACTTCAGTTTCAACTTTTAAATTGGGAGTGTTTTCAGCTAATCTGAAACTAACTTAGCTTGCAAATGTTTTAGGACAATTCATTGATTTAAGGATATTTTTTGACTATACAGTACCCATGGTATCCCATTTTGATACTAAACCTATAAGGAAGAAAATAATTTTTTTTTCTGAAATAGACGAGAGTATATAAATTGATTTTTAAATTTTGGTTTTAGAGCGATTATAAACAATCTCATCAATTATGTAATATCCCTTTACAGTAAACCACAGTGAAGGATTAGTATTGTTACTGCCTGTAGATATTAAATTCATAAACAGTTAGACCTAAATCTTAGGTCAAAGGTAGTACCATTTTTTGGCTTATACTTTTAAGAAATTATTTTCAGAATCATATTAGATCAATTTTAAAATAGAGCCAACAAACACTACACAAATCTCAATCTCATGCCTCTGATACAAAGAGAGGAAATACTTGAGTTTCAGAAATAGCCTTCCAGAGTATAGCTTGTGTTGATCCACTCTGTCACCTGCCACGGTAAGTCTGTGCAGGACAGAGACTAACTAGTAATGCTCTTGTTGTTTTAAAATCTGTTTTGACTAGGGTAGATGGGTGTTATCTTTTTTGTGGTCCTGTGTTTCTGTATGAGTGTGCAGACATGACCTGAGAGGGGGTAAATGTGAATGTGAGTGCATATATGAATGCATTTGAGTGTGCAAATATGTGACCCAATCCAAATGTATGAGATGAAGTCAAGAATTTCTACCAATTTCACCTACTTTTCTTCTTTTCTCCCATCCTCCCTTCTCCTTTAGGGTCCTATGCTGGAGCTGTGATTGCGATGCCTTTAGCTGGTATTCTTGTGCAGTACACTGGCTGGTCTTCAGTATTCTATGTTTATGGTATGTTACATTTCTATAGGATGGAATTAAACGGAATGTGTGTAAGAAAGTCATTATTTCTCTTACACTCAGAGATAGAGCGTTGACTGCATTTCTGTGTGTGCAACTTACTTTCTTGTTTCAAGAATATGTTCCTATAGACTCAGAAGAAGCAAAGTAGATGTTCTATGTCCATTGTTTTTCCTGATTTGTAATTTTGTGTTTTAAAAGTCAATGATAGCCTGGCACTCATGGCTGTAATGCTAGCTGTAATGCTAGCTATTAAGGAAACTGAAGATCATAGTTCAAAGTCAGACAGAGCAGGAAAGTCCATGAGATTCATCTCCAATTAACCACCAAAAAGCCAGAAGTGGAGCTTTGGCTCAAGTGGTAGAATGCTAGCCTTGAGAAAAAGAAAATGTTAAGGGACAGTATGCAGGCCCTGGGTTCAAACCCCAGGATTGGCATACACAAGAAAAGTCAATCACATTGCTTATAGAGACCAATGTATAAAATGTATTTTATATATCTGACTACAAGGGAAAGCTTGTTCCTTATTAAACTTGTGGAGGAAAAGGCTGGACAGAAACTCGCTTATCATTTTGCTGCATTTTTGGATCATTTTCTGGATTCTGTTTCTCTCAGCCCAAATAAGGGTAAAAAACTGGAGAACAGTAGCAGTAATTCACAAAACTAAATCCATTCCTTAGCAAATATAAGCAATTGCCTGGTTCCAAAGCACATCTTGTTCCTCATTTCCCCAGAATTAAAGCAAGAATGCTCTGTGTTTAAAATAAAGAGTTAAACCATGCATCTAAACAGGAAATGAGAGACTGAAAGTTTACTGCTTCCAAGTACCCTGAAGTCTCTTTCATTAAAGTCTCTCTCATTAAGATGCCCTGTTGGATAATTAGGAAAGGACATATATTAGAGAGCTGGATTCCAACAGATATTTTCATTGATTATTGTCATTTTTAAGTATGAGCATGAGTATCTGAAAGATGAATGAAGCCATGCTGCAGAGCACAATCTGGCTACCTCCAAATCTGTCCTGATTCTTTCTCATTTTGAAGTGTTCTCATCACAGCAAGCGACTCTTCTTACTGAGTGACGACAAATGTTGCTTTAGAGTGGGCTCTCTTTGTAATAGATAGGTTTTAGACCCATAAATGTTCTAGATTGTAAGCCACCTATGTATCTGTATACAACTTTTCTAGGCAAGTTTTCAGAGGAGTCCAAATTCAACAAAGCTTGGAAGCATTTGCCTAAAGGGCATATGGTAATTATTTGGCTGTGAGTGAAATACTCTGACTTGTGCTTTAGCTCATTACATAATTGAAAATATTATGAAACTTTGAAGTAATAAATACCCATCAAACAATAATTTCTTTATGGTAAAAATAGTAATTTACACATGTCTCTATTTCAAGTCATCTTATTTAATATTTATAGTTGAACGAAAAATTCAAAGCCAAAACATTAGACATTGTGAAAATACCATACAGTAAATCATGCTTATTTATTATCTGTAATTCTCTGGATTATATTCTCTGCTCTGTAATTGGACTATGCATTCAATTCTTGCTTAAAAAATTAACAGACAAAACTTATACAGTAGAGTAAGCTGAAAAATCTAATAATGCATAAAAACAAGAGGACATATGACACTTTACTTGAATTGCTACAGAAGGACAATGATTATTGAATTAAATAAATTATCTTGTACTGGGTGCTTAATTTGAACCACCCACCATGCTGGATGACTTACACATTATTATCTCTTTTAACTTTCCACAAGCTCATAAAACCGAGTCTCTTTTCCATTTGACAGTGAGGGTTCATATCAATTCTGCTACTGATTGGATCATATACCTAATGAGCCAAGATTTGAATTTGGCGATTCTTAGTCTATACTACATTATACATTATATTTTCACATGATGTCTACCTCAAATTATGTATGCTTCTGTGTTCAGTATTCAATATATCAGCAGGTATGTATAGTATTAAGGAACATGTCTTTGAGATTGAATAAGCAAAGACAAAGTATTATAGTGATGTGGGCTTTTAAATTGTTACCTAGAGGAAAATGAGAATAATGTGAAAGAAAACCAAAACCACAAGATGCTGGGAAAACAGAATAAATCACTTGAAATTTTCTCTATTATTAGTGCTTACAGATTTATATTGCAAAATAAGAAAATGTTTTAATAGTGAGAACTCTAAATAAAAAAAGGTGATCAAAAGGATGTGCAAACCATTTATGGCCTTGGATTTTATAACCTTAATTTTCCCAAATAATAACCATTAGTCAATAGTATTCCAGAAAACAAAATGGAATATGTAGGCACCTACAGTGTAAGATTTTACTATGTAAATTAGTAGCTTCTCTTCATCTACTATATCCACTTAGGATAAAATATTGTTCTGGATTTTGTTTAAGAACCTGTTTTGCTACGTCTGTAAGAGCTATCAGGAAATAGCAGTGAGCTACTTTTCCTCTCCAGAAATGCAGATTGTTTCATATATTCAAAGGAGGTAAATAAAAAAAGCATTCAACTGCATAAAATTATTTGAGGGCAAGAATTTCATCTCAATCATTGTATTTCCAGAGTACCTGGAATAGGAATTTCTCAGGGACTGTTTATTGGACATATAAATACCTTCCAAATGACAGCATTCACTATCGACTTTTTGAAAGATTTTTGAGTATCAGTGTTGTCTAATAGAAATGAAGAGGCACAGCTACAAGCCTAGCTTTTGGGACACTTCAAGTCTGGTGACAAGAGGCAAGAAGAAATGGCTATAGTCATTTGGACAAACACAAATAAGAGTTCTCCTCGTATAGAATTTGTTGGTTTTGAGATTATGGTAGTATTTTAACATGTAACTGCTTAAGTATTCGTGTGTCTTTTTTGACTTGCTTCTTTTAAATTACTTCTCTCAGGAAGTTTTGGAATGGTCTGGTATATGTTTTGGCTTCTGGTGTCTTATGAGAGCCCTGCAAAGCACCCCACTATTACAGATGAAGAACGAAGATACATAGAAGAAAGTATTGGAGAGAGTGCAAATCTTTTAGGTGCAATGGAGGTAAGAACATTATTATGGTGTTTATTCCCATTCTTATTACCCATCTCCACATACTTGATGAAAATTTTGTAAGTCCTTATGCAACCAAAGTAATCTGGTATCCATTATATCTTTATTTTATATCCACTCATCTTTCTTTACTCACTTAAGCATGACTGCAACAGCCTCTATCCGTAATTTCTTGTCATCTTTTATTAGGGTCTGGGCACTAGCCCAGCTTTTTGTGCTCAAGGCTGGTGCTCTACCACTTTGAGCCACAGAGTCATTTCCTGTTTTCTGGTGGTTAATTGGAGATAAGAGTCTCACTGACTTTCCTTCCCAGGCTGGCTTTGACCACAATCCTCAAGTCTCAGCCTTCTGAGTTGCTAGGATCACAAGTGTGAGCCACCAGTGCCCAGCTTCTTTAAGAGTTTTAACATGGAAATAAAACTGAAATATAACTATCTGTAAAGCAAAATGAGCTTTAAAATTAGGTCAATATAAACATGATTTAAACAATATCAATCAATATTTAATTTTGAATTTTGGAAAATTTGATATCAGTTATGGAAAAGAACTATTTTATTTAAATATTCTAAATGTAGATTTTATACATGTGCATTTATATTGTACATGTTTTATGAATACTGAAACATCCAGTAAGAGAATTTATATGGAACATATTCTTACATATTTATCTTTTAATCAAATAATATCTTTAAAGATTCTTATTATGAATGTCAAATATTAAAATATAATTTTCTGAGGCTCCTTGTAATTATTTGATTTCTTTGGATTTGCTTGCACTGAAAATGCAGTTTCAACAATGCAAATTTTTCATTTCATGTACCATTAGTACATAGAAGTTAATAGACAGCCATCAGATACTTCAAAAAAAGAGGGAAAAACTAGTTTGCATAAACAGCATGAGAAACAAATTGAGCACCTCAGATCAATAACCTCTTAATCAATAACCAACAATTTTCTTACATTGAAACTCTTTTTCTTCCTCTCCTCTTTTAAATACTGCTCTCTCTATTCTAAGCATGCTTTCTTTGTGATACGTGTCTTTAAGTAATTTGCATTTCATCCTAGATAAAAAGATGGTCACTTATTGTTGCTGAGTATATCTGGGTCATTAGTTAATATGAGAAATTTCCTATGAAATATTATCCAGAAGTGAATTTTCATGGTTAAAAAATCCCTACATTTTAGTTCAAGAACTTGATAGGTTAGCATTATCACACCCTTCTACAGAAGGAAGACCATTTGGAGTTTGTTAATTGACCCATTGTAACAATGAGATGTACAAGATACTATGTTGAAAAACGAACTTTACAATTTAGGCGGGGGTGGGGGGGAGTGTAGTTGTGGAGGTGGGAGGGAAGGGATAGTAGGGGAAAAACAAAGGAAGGGCCAACAATGCTTGATAAGAAATGTACTCATTACCTTGCTCATGTAACTGTAACCCCTCTGTACAGTATTTTCACAATTAAAAAAAAAGTACTGATGATTCAGGACTGGGATGGGTGCATTAGCGCCCCCTACCTGCAGTGGCTGTGAGCAGAAGTTAAATACAGGTTAGTCTTTGGGTGGTTTCTTGAATTTAACTACAATTTCTAGCTAAAAGTTAGTCTCCATTAAAAACAACAACAACAAAACCGTGTTCTTACCTACTGTTCCAAATAAAGTTTACTGGTTCAGTTATAAATGTAGTGTTATGCAGTTATTTCAAGCCTATTATTCCAATGTCCAGAATGGATATTTAGACATGTCAAACGTAGGTATCACTGTGTGCTTCTCAAATACTACAAAGTAATAAAACCAACATAAAGATGCGATTTTATTTTAATAATTAAATTCATAAAAAGTTTAATATTTTAAATGCTGAAGTGTTAACTGTAATTGATTATACACCATCTCAGAAAATGTAATTAAGGCTAACATTTATTTTCATAAGTAATGCTCAAACTTAAAAAAAACATCCTTTTTACACTTTACAGTCTATTGCCATGGATTTTAGGCATGGAGAACAAGCATGGCATAGTGGAAAAATAAATAAAAGAATTAAAGATAATTGGGGGAAAAAATCCTAGGAATTTAATCTGTGAAATACAAGCTCCCAAATAAACCCCCAAAGAAAAACAAGTAGGCTGATAAAACTATAACTTGCAATTTTACATTTCCTATAACTTATTGCTTTATACAGCTACTTACTTAGGCCAATCATACACAGGTTCGTAATTTTAATGTCTCAAATATCCTAAACAACTGGTTGCCATGTGCTAGGGCTTGCTGGGTGGCACACCTAGCTGCATGCCATGTTACTTTTGCAAGATCTGCACACCAGGGTCGCCAAAGGTTGATGTCATTAACTATTCAGAGATCATAAGCATATGTAATGGCATAAATGACTTAGGAGGCATTTTCGAAGACCACATTCTTAATTCTTCTGATCTCTTCCTCTGAAATATATTTACTATATTTAAATGAAAATATTTACACTCATGCCACACTGCTGATTTGGCAGTGATAATTTAGCTGAAACATGAAAAAGTCTTAGAAACCAGAATTTATGCTTTGGAAATTGAGACTCCATAAACATGAACTTCTGCATAATTCTTAAAGCTAGAACAATTTAATTGGAATAAAGGGTTGATCTTTTATTTTTTGCTTTTTCAATACTTATTCAGATAGCTAAGGTTAACTGAGTGGTTGTAAGAATCAGTTCGGTCTCCCCCTACTAATGCACCATAATATATATCCCATTTGTATCAAAAACATTTTAAAGAATAGTAAGAATACTCTCTTTTGGGGATTTCAGAAATTCAAGACTCCATGGAGGAAATTTTTTACGTCTATGCCAGTCTACGCAATCATTGTTGCCAACTTCTGCAGGAGCTGGACTTTCTATCTGCTGCTCATTAGTCAGCCAGCATACTTTGAGGAAGTGTTTGGATTTGAAATCAGCAAGGTATGTAACAATTGGCCTAGTTTAAATAGTTGATTTTTGTACATACGTAGGTATTAGGTTTGTTTGCAAAGAGTTTCTATTCTAACCTTCATTTATTTACTCAACAGTTATCTGCTGGGAAACAGGCTAGGCTGTCTGCCTGTCCTAATTCTATTCTACTACTTGTATGAATTTGCTTTCTAGTGCTGGGAATCCAGCAAAACAAATCTAGAATTTCCCTTTCTGGAATTTTTGTCTTAATTGTGAGAAGCCATACAGCACTTCCCTGTAAATGAATGTCATTTCTTTTAAGTCTCAGAGTAGAGCAAACATTGCAATAAAAAAAGATATACTATTTGAATGAAATTGTACATAGAATAATGTACTAAGAATTACCAATAATTGGCAATTGCCAATCTAACTCTTCTTCAGTGTTCTCAGATACCTGTTCCATTAATAGATGTCAGTTTTTTATATTCTTTGTACTCAATTTTTATTTTAGCAAGCATTTGTTGAATATAATATATGAATCTTTCTGCTGGTTCAGAAAGAAAATCATGATTTTATTTCTAAATGTTCATAGCTTACTGACAGAGACAAAACATGCAATTACCCATTACAGCACAATGTGTTGAGTGCCCCAGACACTTAGTTAAGAAATAAAATTATCTTGAGATTTTCTGTGAGGATAAATGAACTTCGAAATGTGACTTTATATCAGGGTTTGAAAGTCTGCTTGTTTTCACAGACCATCCTGTTTGATTGGCTAGGTGGGAAACTATCATTTCTATTCTGTTAATGGTGAAACAGAACTATTGAAATTATGTAAATATACCTAAAATCACATTTGTAAATGACAGAACTGAGGCCATGATCATCTGATTGTGGTGTTAATTCTCTTTACTATGCCATTCAAATTCAGGTAAATCACAGACTCATTCACTCATTTATGAAGGTTTACTAAATGCCAGCTCCTTGCCAATCCCTTTGTTGAGCCCTGAATGCACTTGTCTGCACTGCCAATGGTCTTGCCATTTCTCTTCATGTCCTTACATAAGTCCAGCTGGGCTCTTGCTATTCATATTATATCCCTGCTTAAAAGACTATCTGAAGCCTGGAACTGAAGGAAACTTGAGTTTAGGAGTAGCTATTCTAAGAGCTCTTTTGTTATCCCCGTTTCTAAGGAAACTGTGGTACCTATCCCTGAGAAGAATGGCTGCTTTAGACGGGGTTCTTCTCTCTGAAGCAGATCAAACATCCAGGGTAGCCTTTGGAGCTCTGAGAGGTGTTACACTTCTCCACAAAGGATGCTGGAGGTGTGAGTCCATTTTCATAATCTAGGACAAATATGACACTGAGAATCTATTAATAAAGCCACGTCTCATGGTGAGGAAGAGAAGGAGCTGGCTGATGTTCTTAGAACTGTGTGATCATTCTGACCCTGTATCTCCAATTATTTGGAAGTGCTTTAAGAAATCAATAATATTTAAAAGAAAAAAACCCCAAACATATGGTACACATGAGTTATTTGATTCACATATTGTATTTTTAAAGTAAAAGTGTGGATACATTCTATACAAACAGTTTTGTGTAAAGATTTTTATTTTCAAAATTTATTTATTTAGTTTATGCTGGTCTTAGGGCTTGACCTCAGGGACTGGACACTGTACCTAAGCTTCTTTTGCTCAAAGCTAGTGTTCTATCACTTGAGCCACAGCTCCATTTCTGTCGTCTGTGTGTGTGTGTTGTGTGTGTGTATGTGTGCGCGCGTGTGAGAGAGATTAATGAGAGATAAGAGTCTTATATATTTTTCTACCCAGGCTGGCTTGGAACTGCAATCCTCATAACTCAGCCTCCTGAGTAACTAGGATTAAAGGCCTGAGTCACCAGTGCCCAGCAAGATTTTGATAAGACTCACCAAAAAATAATTGGATTTATGTGAAATATGTATGGAGGATTAAACCTCTGGGTTTTGCATCTAAATTGATGTGGCTTTGAATTTAAGCTTCAAGTGAAGTATTGGTATATACATACAAATATAAAAATGTGTTTATACAACCATTGATACATGAGTTAGTTACCCTATGAAGTTTATATAATATTTCATCATGAATATGTATTATACATAATATGTAAATGAATTGTGTATATAGTAATAGTACTAATATATAATATATATTATGTATACTATATATTATATGTAATATGTAATATATACTATATATAGTATACACACTGTATAGTATATATGGCACATACTATACATACTGTATAACATATACTATGGATAGTATATATACTATGTAGGACATAATGTATATAGTATATACATTATATATAATATACAATATATTAACATTGTTATATATTAATGCATACCCATCTATGTGTATATATGTATATTAAATTGGTCTGTATTATATGCACTTGGGAATGGCTTTTTGAGGAAGGCCATGCAAAGATCAATGAGCACTCTTAAAGGTTTGAATACAGAGAACATCACAATATCTAGAGAAATAATTTGTTTCTTTGAGCATCATATATAGGTGGGAGGGATCACAGATTGGGTGGCTGGCTGCTCCTTGCTTCTGAGTAGATTCCTAATTTGTGAAAACATATCAACTGCAGAGAGATATAATCCTAACTTTGGCCCTGAGAAACATAACAGAGGGACCAATGTCTAAGGATCTGTAATTTCTATGCAAACTAAATTATAGATTCAGAAAATTAACATATTAGTGCAAAACCTTAAAATAATGAACAAACTGTTGTGTGATTATTATCAGTAGTGCACTCTAATCTTGTGGCAAGTGATTGCTTATGATAAATCCCCAAATTTGAGATAACATTTAAAATAATTGTCAGGAAGTTTGCAATCTTTTCTGAGCTTGCTGAGATTATATAGACTATATCCACCTGTTTCCTAAGAAACTATGATATGGTGTACATTTAAATTCTAACTAGTGGTGTTAAATATTTCACCTTCTCCAACCCTTGCATTTTTGTAGTGTTTTTCAAACAATATTCTCAGAAAGAAATAATAAAAATAAATGATTATCATAGCTTAGATTTTGTTTATTCAAAGTAACCAAAATATTCATTGGAATAAATAGTAAATGGAGGATATCCAAGTGAAGAATTTTTCACTAGTAAGTGAAGATGGCAAGAGCTTAGTGACTATGTTTGTAATTCTAGCTACTGGGATTGATCGGGGATATTGGAAGAAGGGGATGTAGAATTAACTCATATATATGATTACAGCCCAAGACTGGCTCATGGCAAAAGGGGGCCCTATATAAAAATAACCAAATCAAAATGGATAGGGAGGAGGAATGTACTAGTGGTAGAGTACCTGTCTGGCAGTTCTGCAGTCTGAATTCAAAGCCCAATGCTGCCTTCAAAGGTGTTTTTGGCAGATGTTTCAAAACTGAGACAAAATGTAAGACAATTAACGTAGGTTTAGGAAATACATCCTCTCTCAAGATTTTTGGCTGCCATTATGAATATAAAAAACATGATTTGGGGCTGGGAAGGTGGCTTAGGGATAGAGTGCTTGCCTAGCATGCATGAAGTCCTGAATTTGATTCCTCAGTGCCATATAAACAGACAAAGCTGGAAGTTCAAGCCCCAAGACTGGCAAAAAAATCATGGTTTGTTATTCTATACAAATCCTTGCATACTGTGTTTAAGGTATTTGTGGGTGTAGGTGATGGTAGTGAGGCTTGGACTCAGGGGCCTGCACTCTTGTTTGGCTTTTTTCATTCAAAGCTCTACCAATTGAGTCACACCTCCACTTGTGGCTTCTTACTAATTAATTGGAGATAAAAGTCTTGAACCCATGTGCCCAGGCTGACTTTTAACTGAGATCCAGCTGTCAATTTCCTGAGTAGGATAATAGGCATGAGCCACCAATGTACAGCACAGATATTAAAAAATATATTTTACACACTATTAGAAATATATCTACTAACACAAAGAGCAAAGAACTACTGTGTTTTTTCAAGATGATATCCCCAAAGCAATATTTGCCTAATATTTTTATTTGATGGTTTTTTGTTATCGAAAGTTATTTTTATTGTATATAAAACTACTCTTGTACATACAGAAGTTGATTTTATATTTGATGTCTTTTTTCTTACTATCCAGAATGCATCTTTAATAACATTTAAAACACAGATATTTTAAAACATAACATTTGTTACACATTCCTGCTCCCAAAGGAATATATATTGAATATCACAATGTGGAAAATTAAATAAAAAGCCATCTCTTATACAGAAACAATCATAATGAATTCACAGTTGAGGTTCATATCCTTTTGAGTATGCACATATGCATACTATTTGATGTCTTTTTTAACTCACATTTGTTAAACCCTTAATAAGTACCCTGTTTTAAGCTAAACCAAACACCTTTACATATATTGTATTGTTTTATTATTTTCCTTTCTCAGATGGCATTTATACTAAGCATATGAATTAAGTGCTCAGTCTTTACACTCAGATAGAATTGGCTTAAAACCTGTCCCTAGCAAAAGCTAACCCCTACTAAGTCTCATTTTCATTTAATAATGAAACTTAAAATTTCCATTCTGTATGGAAGAGATAGCTAAAAAGTCTGAGCATATACTTAAAGTCATTCAGTATTTCAATTAGTCATTAACAATCTAAATCATGACTATTACACTGCAATCTACATCACTGTCAAATCAAAAGTAATCTTTGCCTCATAATACCATCAGTCTAATTGGACAGCTGTTAAACATAAATAATAAACATCCAATATGTACCCATATACTTTTTTTTCTGAACCTGAATTTTTTTTTTCTGAATTCTGGGTCTTGGTGCTGTCCCTGAGCTCCTTTTGCTCAAGGCTAGAGCTTACCACTTGAACCATAATACCACTTCCAGCTTTTTCTGTGATTTATTGGAGATGAAAATCTCACAGACATTCCTGCCTGGGCTGGCTTTGAACTACGATCCTCAGATCTTCAGCCTCTTGAGTAGGACTACAGGCCTGAACCAGCAGTGCCTGGTTCCATATACTTGAAGATCTATAAAAGTTCTTTGTCTATTTGCATTCAATATATGTGGTAATATCCAAATTACATAAATTTTATTTGTACTTTGTATCCTCAGAATACCTAGAGAACAGAGTCTTGTCCATAATTAATGTTTAAAATATGTTTTGATGCTTTGGGGTTAGGCTTTAGATTAGGATAATTATTATGAGCTTAGTTGGGAAACTACATTATAACAATATGACCACATATTGATTCTGACAGAAAATATCCCAAATTAAAGAACTGATTTGAATAACATGAACTTTTATTTTATTGAAATAAATTCATGTTATAAAAGTTGTGTGTATACACACATATTCATATGCACACATATACATACATATACATATATGTACATTTACACAATACATATTCAATTTAGACCTTATGATTAAAAATGAACAAAGGTATATAAATTCATTTGTCCCTTTTATGTATTTTCCTTCCCCTCCTCTTCCCTCACATTGAAGATAAACTTGAGCAAGCACAGTCAAGAGCATAAAATGGACAAACAAGGGTGAATCACAAGGTTCAGGACAGTTGATTCATGAATTCAAAACTTACTGAGTCATAGCAACAAAAAATTAGGTTTCATTGTTTATTCTGTGGAAGTCAGGGTTCATTCTAGGAATAAGTAGTTATTTGGATTCACCACGTTGCCTTTTTACTCATAAACCCTTGATGATGGATTGAGGACACCAGAGCCAGCAAGCTGCTCTCGTTATTTATGGTCATGTATATTTCCCACCTTCTTCTTCTTCTTCATCAGGTTGGCATGCTTTCTGCTGTGCCACACTTAGTCATGACAATCATTGTGCCCATTGGAGGACAAATTGCAGATTTTCTCAGAAGCAAACAAATCCTTTCAACTACTACAGTGAGAAAGATCATGAATTGTGGTGGTAAGTGGATACATGGTAGCAAAGACAAATAGCTCATTAACTTCTCATTTACCCAAGTGAATAATGCTTCTAAATGCATCAATGCAGCTAAATTTGTGCTTTCATTGCTCATGTCCAACCATTTTCCCACCTTCAATTTTTCATAACTCTTTCATCATTGAATGATAATGTTATTCTATATTTTAACTAATTTAACCTTTACAACCATTGAGTTTTAGGTTGTCTGAGGGTTTAAAAAATTAAACACATGAAGACCTCAGTAACCTCTGGCATTGAATATTACTTTTACTATTATTATTTTGATATAGGCTTTCTGAACCAAAATATTTAAATCAATAAGTATAGGCATTTATAGCAGTTTGGGCTCATGGACTAATTTCATACAAATTCTTAAAGTGTTTCCATGTGTTTATTTCCAAAGGGTTTGGAATGGAAGCCACATTGCTTCTTGTTGTTGGCTATTCTCATACCAGAGGTGTAGCAATCTCATTTTTGGTACTTGCAGTGGGATTTAGTGGATTTGCCATATCTGGTAAGCTATATATTTTATACATTTGACATTATGATCTTGCTAATATGTCTATGTGTATATGTAATATGATCAATATGTATATATGTATTCTTATAGACAATCAAAACATTTAGATTTGTTACTACTCATTCCCCCCTCCATTTACTGTTTTTCTCTCTGTTTCTGTTATTGTTTGTTGCTTGTGAAGAGAGCCTTTTCACTCTGTGAGGTGAACATCTCATGTTAAGTAATGGATGACAAAATATGCCTCTTTCCAGTCTCCTTATGTCTTCTAGCCAAATGATGCAGTTGTCGAACTCATGCTATGTACTCGGTATATTTTAAGGAGTTATGTGGTGATGCTTTTATCTCATAAACTTTTATGATTCCTTTAGTCAAAGATTGTATGTGTATTTCAGGCTTTAATGTGAACCACTTGGATATTGCTCCAAGATATGCTAGTATCTTAATGGGCATTTCGAATGGCGTTGGCACATTGTCAGGGATGGTTTGTCCTATCATTGTTGGCGCGATGACCAAAAACAAGGTAAGATAGAACAAGATAGGTGTTCAGTCATAGAAGATTCTCTGCCATGGCTGGGAAAGAGTTATTGTGTTCTCCCTGGAATGTTCCTTCTAAGTAAGAAAGATAAATGTGGCCTAGAAGACGTTATTTCCCTAGGATCTGAGATATTCCTGTTTCCCTAATCTATGAGCAGGGTGTTTCTCAACACTTACTTATTTTTCAGATTTAGGCCTTAAATATAACAACTATTTATGCTATTTGTGTGACAAAGAAAAGAACTTTTCCCCTTGGTTGTTAAAACAGGCAGAACATTTTCACAGCTTTATTTGCAAACCCTCATTTTTACTAATTTTCAGTTGTTCAGGGGAGAATATTTTGTCATATTTGTCCTTTCATGTATATAGAGAGGGTCAAAATTATGATTAAACAGAAGGCAATAAAGGAAAGAAGTGGGATTAAAAGATAATCTAATGGAAAATCAGGCATAGTGACTTATACTTTAATTCTAGCATTCTGGAGATGAGAGAAGAGGATGTTGAGTTCCAGAGCAGCATAAGCTACATAGGAGGAATTTGCAATTTTTATTAATGAAAAGATAAATCACTGGAAATGGAAAGGAATTATTGGTATCTACATACCCAGCAAGACATAGATATGCATAACATTTTATTACTAGCATAGTATATTAAATAATAGCAAATAGTTTTATAGAAAGGTTCTGTAAGAATGCTGGCTTTATATAATCAGGCTTTGACTATTCCCAAAGATAACATTTCATGAAAAGAAGTGCTGTCATGGGGTGGGTATTATCACAATTCATTTTCTGTCCCTACAGTCCCGTGAAGAATGGCAGTATGTCTTCTTGATCGCTGCCCTAGTCCACTATGGTGGAGTGATCTTTTATGCAATATTTGCCTCAGGAGAGAAACAACCATGGGCAGACCCTGAGGAAACAAGTGAAGAAAAGTGTGGTTTTATCCATGAAGATGAACTTGATGAAGAAACAGGGGATATTACTCAAAATTATATAAATTATGGTACCGCCAAATCTTATGGAGCTACAACACAGGCCAATGGAGGTTGGCCCAATGGTTGGGAAAAGAAGGAAGAATTTGTACAAGAGGAGGTACAAGATGCATATACCTATAAAGACCGAGATGATTATTCATAACAAAACTACTACTGGGTGTCCTTTTAGTGTTTGTGATTAAATTAATTGTGATTGCACACAAATATAACCAAGAGTGGTGTAAACAATGTACACATATCAACCAGGCAAGTCTTGCTGTAAAAATGAAATCCAAACAAACCCATGAAATTACCATCAAGTGCAATCTGTAGAAGTTGTGAAGTTCATCCTTTCCTTTCAGGCCATCATTCTTCCGTTTGTGATTTACAGGATCAGTGTAGAAACGAATAGTTCTTCATTGGATTCATATGAACTGAAACTCATTACCATTTAAGAAAGCACAACTACAGCAGTTGGCACATCTCATCCTACAGAAGTTAGGAAGCCAAAGCTACTTGATCATGCAAAATGCACTTATATATTTGTTACACTGTATTGCAAGATATCATGCAGAAGTCCTGTTTAAAAAAATAATGCAAATTTCAAATTGGCTGCATCAGCTGTTGGCAATATTTAGTAAGCTGGAGAATTAAGATGTATTTCCATTGAAGAAGCATATGGTACACTCACAGCCAGCAAATTGTATTGACTAGGCAATTCTTAGGATTAATTAAATAGTTTGGGATATTTTGTGTGCCTCAGAAAAGAATATCTTGCAGTGTTTATATAAAATGCCAGGGCACAAACACTTATTTTTGTGAAAGAAAATTTGTAAAGAGAGGGGTATGCTTCATGTTCTTCCATTCATTACCTGACAGTATGAAACACTTTGCATTTCAATGAAGATCAACTTTACATGTAGCATATTACAGAAATTTTTTGCAAAAATGAATTATAAAAATCAATAGACTTCAATGTATTTTTATTACAACTTTGTACTGGTTGTAACTTGCATTAGAAAAAATATATAAATATACACCATAAAGATTCTAAGAAAGAATTTACTATGAAAATATAGCCCTTAAAATGCAATATTAACACCAAAAGAAATAGACGATGATTTAGAGTCCTTCTTTAACAATTAAATATTATATGAAAGTTGTGCCACAGAACTCTATGTAATACGAGAAAATAAACAATAGAGATATTATAAGTAGAAAATTTTATTATTTAAAGTTCCATTAAAGAGATATTTGTCTTAGATAGGACAATAAATTATATTAAAATTATATCTATGTCTATATCTATATCTGTATATCTTATACATATCCATAAACACACAAAACATAAACAATTTTCACACAATACCAAATACAGCATACACCTAATGTTGGGTTAGGGGACTGCAATTTCTACTTTCCTAGAGTCACAATTTTAGATGAGGAAGAGGCATTTTGCTTGTCATTTCTTAATATAACTCAACAGGAATTGCAACATTTGTGTACCAAGCAATAAGTGCAATGCATAAAGTTTCCTCTCTGTATAGTAACTTCATTTTGCTAATAGTAGCTGTTTGGGTGGTTGGAATGACTATTTTCTTTGAAAAAAAAAAAAAGCTAACATCAGATTTCTTTATAATATTCTAAAAAATACTAATGCATTTCCCAAGTCAACACAAAATATTATAGGTGTATTTAATTGTCTGTTCTGGATATTTGGTCTGTTTCTTGTATTGTGCTAGTAGTGACTGGAGGCCCTGCTACTGCAAATATGAAACATAAAGTTTGTTTTTTTAAAAAAATACAAATTCTTCTCAACTTCAAGAAAATAAAAAATACTTTATGCTTTGTGTCTCAAAGTGATATCATGTGACCATAAGTTTGTTGTGTTGAATAAAAATATGTGGACTGTCAATTTGTGGCATCAAAAAGTGTTAATAAAATGCTCTATTTATCCTTTTGTTAAAAAAACACACATTAACTTGGGCTTAATTTGTTTTTGTTTAGTTTGTAGCTTTAGTGTGAATTTTCCTGTGGATGTGCCAATGAAGTTAAATTTAAGCTCAAGAGTAACAGCCGCTTTAGCCTCTCGGGATTTAATGGAAGAACATGATATTTTCTAGATTGCGTGAGGTGTAGTTCTGTAGTGAGAGTTTTAAACTAAGCGGTAGTTCTCTGAGTTGAGCTCCATCTTCCCTGAGGCTAAATTTAGAGGAATATTGTGAAACAAACCTGAAGTTCTCAGATCAGTACCATGATTTAACTTTCACTGTACACTTAGCTTATGCCGGTTATTGGCAGGTATATATTTTGTACAGTATCTTATGAGGCTTCATAATGACCCCCTGAGGTATACATCCATTAATTTCCAGGTTACAAATGAAAAAGGGAAATTTAGACTTCAAATGACTTTGCCAAGATGCAATAGTATAGTGGTACTATATTAAAACATGTTAACTAAAACAATAAGCAGTAAGCTGAACACCCAATAGGTGTTCAAATAGCCTCTGGTCCTTCTTCTACATGTGTGCAGAAAGAGAACTATGTAACTATTATATGATCTATATATTCTGTACATGTAGCATTTATAGTATCTGAGATTTGTGAAACTGTACTGCTCAAAGGACTTTTGGGCTCATTTTGTTGACATTACTTACAGCTGAGGACACTGAAGGTCAATATAGAAAATGACGTGATGAAGAACTGGATGGTTATATATCAGGTTATTACTAAAGTAGGATTACTTTAAACAGGTATTTATTGCTTCAATCACTATCTCCATATCCCACTAAAATAAGCCCCAGAGTTTTTTTGTTTTTGCCACCTGGGCACTGTCCCTGAGCTTCTTTGATTTTTTTTTTTTTTGCTTAAGGTTACCGCTCTACCATTTGAGCCACAGAACCACTTCCAGCTCTTTTGTGGTACTGAGGAATCGAACCCAGGGCTTCATGCATGCTAGGCAAGCACTGTACCACTAAGCCACATTCCCAGCCCAGTCCTAGAGTTTTGTTTGGTGGAAAGAGAGGGGATGTATTTCCCTTCCTATCCTCCTTTGTGTAAGGAGGAAGGCAAGAGTGAAAATGTCACAACTAATGCACTGTTTTCCCAATACCATAGCATTCCCTAATCCTACAGTAATTACATTGCTTTTCTCATTCCTCCCATCCTACATTTTCCTCACTTAATCTTTATTATCATATACATCTAGTATTTTGTAGTTCACAACATACTTACCCATACATTATCTCATTTAGCCCTCATATCTGCCTTGTAAAATTGAAAGCCTACATTTTGTTATTAGAAATTCTATTCTTTACATAAGGAGACCAGGTCTATGAGAGTATATTTTAACTTCCTAAAGGTTCTCTAGGCAAGGATGAAGCAGAATACAGACTATGTGGCCTTGATGAAAAAGTACTTTCTGTTTCTTTTACTTCTAAATCCCATTATTACCCATCTAATTGAAAGTTACTTCTTGACTGGGAATTTCACTAGGTAAAAATCAGTGCTCCACTAATAAAGATAATCAATCATTCTGCTGTCTAGAGATAAACATTTCTGAAATTTCGTAAGGATGTGTTACAGGCCTCTCTCCTATGCTCTGATACTACCTTGATCAATGGTAGCATAATCAGTACTGACAGAAATCTCTCTGTGGACATGTCTGTCTCTTCACATGACTTTCTTTTTTAAAATGGTATCATTATTGGTCCCAACCAACCCTAGTATAACCTCATCTTAACCAAGCCTACCTACAATGACGCTTTTCCAGGAAAAAAAAAACCCAAAAACTCATGCTCTAAAGTTACTAAGGGTTAGAATTTCAACATAAATTTTTGGAAGATACAATGTAGTACATAATAGCTTTTCTCTGGTCTTAGAGAATCTATCAGGCTCTTAGCTTTTAAGATTTTATTCAATTTGTGACCACAACATGGTTGCTCTTAGTGTTACCCTCTCCCTTACTCTCTTTTATTATGGGTAATTTGACCATGCTTTTTAGGCTTGGATTAGTGTGTGCCTGGGTTTCCTGGCATTGTCTTTAAACGATGAAGGAATGTGGTCATGCAATTCCTCTACCCCATAAACATTGCTTTTGCCGGAATGCCAGCAAAAGCAATGGAAAAATGAGCACAGATTCCTGATAGTGAGGAAGATGTCACAAAGACTCTGGGCCGCCACTGTGTTGACAAGAAGTCTGTCTGACAAGACACGCTGTCGATTCCTCCAAGGATCAGAAGGCAGAACTCCTGTAGCAAAGGGCAAGAAATAAAATGAGCACTGGAGTCAAGGGCATAAAACAAGTGTACTTGGCAGTGTGACTGGATTTCCAAATCATTCAGAAGTCTGATTTTGTTCACTTGGTGATTTTTATTTCCTCTGTGGTCGATGCTTAATATCACTCAGAGAATTCAATATAATAACAACTTCAGTCCATATAGAAGGGAGAACTTTTTTAAAAAATATTTTTAGTAATGCATTTATTTGTAAATAGCAGCTATTAAAGCCAGGTCTGGCAGCTCAAGAGTGTCCTCATCACTACTGGGTGGAGATATGGGCATTGTGGTTCAAGGGCAGCCCTGGGAACAAGAAGTATATGAGATTCCATCTCAACTAACTTTTGAGTGCAATGTCAAGTGTCTGTTATCTCAAGAACAGGGAAAACACAATGACTGGGTGCAGTGGTCACATTCCTACTCAAAAATGGTTCAAGTGATGGAGCCCCTGCCTGACAAACAGAAGGTCCTGAGATTCATCCTTAATACTTAAAAGAAAATAAATAATCGTGTGTACCTCAGTATGAGATCATCAAAGTATGTTAAGAATGAAAATTTGGCTTGAAAATCAAACCAAACCAGAACTCTTCTAAAGCACTTAGGTTCTAATACTACTGATGGCACTTCACAATTACACTGGAAGGTCCACTTGTCACCAGCTTTCTTCTTGAAGAGCTTACCTTAGACTTCCATGACTAGTAGGATTACTTACCAGGCCTCTGCTGTATGAGGTGTTGGAAAGCCAATTCACCTTCAAGCCACTGCCTCTGGTGACACTAAGAGCACCTGCAGGAATTCTTTCTGATTTAAGAGGATGGCCTCCTTGGTGTTGCTGTCCCATGGCCACAGCTTCTATATATGGCCATTGGACAATGAATAACAAAGAGGCAAATGAGTTTTGAAAGCATAGCCCTTCCTTCTGAGTGAAGCTGCATCATTCTAGGTCATGTTCCTTGGTACACAGAGTTCTGGCTGAATTTTCACCCTGATGGATCTTTTAATCT